GAGGGGCTGGGGGCGTGGCTCAGTGGTAGAGCCCCTGCCTAGAATCCCCCAGGGAGGGGCTGGGGGCGTGGCTCAGTGGTAGAGCCCCTGCCTAGAATCCCCCAGTGAGGGGCTGGGGGCTTGACTCAGTGTCAGGGCCTTGCCTGGCATGTTCAAAGATTACAATGCCAGAACTACCAAAAAAGAAAAGAAAAAATAACCCTAAAAAACAAAGCAAAACAACAAACAAACAAACCCAAAAGATGTCGATCCCATATATACTTCATTTGTCCTTGGAGGGGGGGTCAGGATGGGGGACAGGATGGGACTGACATATGGAAGACAAGCCCAGAGGGTGACTCATATACCCCACTCATCGCTAACCACCCCAAGATCCTACGCTATGAGAACGAGGTGCTGCAGCTGGAGGAAGATGAGCGCTTTGAGGGCCGTGTGGTGTGGAACGGTAGTCGAGGCACCAAGGACCTGCAGGACCTGTCCATCTTCATCACCAACGTCACCTACAACCACTCTGGCGACTACGAATGTCACGTCTATCGTCTCCTCTTCTTTGATACTTATGAGTACAACACCAGCGTCATCAAGAAGATTCACCTGGAGGTGGTGGACAAGGGTGAGTTGAGCCTCGTCACTCTCTGGCAAGCCAGATGGAGGGACAGATGGAAAGAAGGGGACAGGCTAGTGCCACACAGAGGCCGGCTAACACCCCGCAGCCATAAGGGAAGGACACCCCTTTTCTGGCTCTGGAATCTTCAGCTCTTCAGCCCATAGGAGGTCAGATTAGGCCTTCCCCCCCTCCCCCCCCCGACAAATGGTATGTGCGTCAGACTGTAGTCATGCTGTGTGACCTTTGACAGGTATATTCCTATCTCTGAGTCCCAAGCTTGTTCCCAGGGACGAGAGGATAGTCTATAGGGCTTGGTATGTCCCTCAGCTGAGGCCCTACAGTGGAGAGTGTAGAGGCTTTATTTGGGACAACAGTGGGAATACCAGAGGCCTGTGGTGCTTCTGAGCAGAACCAGCATTTTGGTTTAAGCGTCCTTGGACCTTTTCACCAAACCATTTTTTTTTTAAAGTTTTGAGGCAGGGTTTTGCTTTGTAGCCCAGGCTAACCTCCAACTCTTTTTTTTTTTTAAATAGGTGTATCCTAAACTTTTTTTTTTTAGTAGATATATCCTAAACTTCTCCTTTAAAAAAAGATTTATTTATTTTATGAGTGCTCTATCTGCACATGCCAGAAACGGGCATCAGATCACATTACAGTGGTTGTAAGCCACCACGTGGTTGCTGGACTCGAGCTCTGGACCTCTGGAAGAGCAGCCGGTGCTCTTAACTGCTGAGCCATCTCTCCAGCCCCTAACCTCCAACTCTTGATCCTCCTGTCTCAGCCTCCCAGTTGCTAAAACTACAGGCGTGTCTCACTATCACAGGACAGACCATCTTCTGATCAACATGTACTGGAATTTTCCAGAGTCCTATGTCTTAAAAAGTCAGGGTGCTATTCCAAGCCTGGAGGTAGTGAAGAACTCTGGAAAGTGGGTCACTGGGGGCCGATAGCAGTGCGCATTTTCCCGGATTTGGTACCTTGACCTCTGGCTTCTTAAAAAAACCCGGTTGGGCCCTCCCGCCAGCATCTGAGGGAGGAGGTTCACCACCCCCATTTTATGGACCCAAAGGCAAAGGCTCAGGGAATTTAACTCCTGTGACCAAGTCACCTGACTGGGTCCTGGATTTGAACCCAGCCCTGCCTGGGTTAACACTCCCTCCCCAGTCTGTTTCTCGAGTGCATCTGTGTTCCGTCAGCCAGAGCCTGCGAGATCCTTTTTATAATTAGCTTTTTTTTTTTAAATGTTTCTCATCAAAATGGCACAGAAGGCAAGTGAGAGGCACATTCAAGGGAGTCAAGGGAGTCACGGGGACGTCACCACGCTGCGTGCGTGGTGGGCGGTGACCACAGAAAGTGGAGCTTTGCCTGCGTGGACAGGGTTCAGCAGAGCTAAGGCCACCCTGATACCAGGCCTCACACACCCCAGCTTATGAGGGGGAAGCTGGAGAACACAGTCAGTCTCTGTCTCATGGGGGCCCTTGCGCAGGGCATGTGCAGAGCAGAGGTGCCAGCTCAGGCCTCCGTGACTGTAAAGCCTGCCTTTTATTCACATTCTCTGCTCCATTATAACAGCCTGCACGGCGGGCGTCTGTGTTCAGAACACAGAGAGCCTTTTCTGTTGACCGCGTGTTTCCAGAAGAATCTAGCGCGTACTACTGCTGTGTCATGATTCCGCTTCTTGACATTTTAAATTATGTTTAGATTTATTTATTTGTGTGTTGGGGGACGGGGCTATGGCACGCACAGGCCACGGTGCACGTATAGAGTCACTCGGAAGAGTCAGTTAACCCGTGTGAACCCTGGGGATCAAACTCAGGTTGTCAGGCTGGGCAGCCAGCCTTAACCTGCCGAGCCACCTCAGTGGTAATATCATCATATCATATTCTGATATTTATTTCTTACTTATGTGTTTATTTTGAGGCTTGTCCTCCTCTACTTAAAATAGTTCATACTAACCTCAAATTCACATTCCTGATTAAACCAGTTCTCCTGCTTCAGCCTCCTGAGTGCTGGAATTAGAGGTGTGGTTTGCCACGAAGGCTAAATGTGTATTGTTTGGTTTTCTTGGAGACAGGGTTTCTCTGTGTGGCCCTGACTGCCCTGGAACTCACACTGTAGACCAGGCTGGCCTCGAACTCAGAAATCCACCTGCCTCTGCCTCCCAAGTGCTGGGATTAAAGGCGTGTGACACCATGACCGGCTGACCATGGGTTTTTGTTTTTGTTTTTGTTTGGCTTTTTTAATGTTTTATTTTTTTAAATGTGCGATTTTGGGGGGCTTTCAAAGACAGGGTGCTGTAATGGTATTTGGGCTAATGTCCAACTTGCTATATAGCCAAGGGTGACCTTGAATTCCCGATTCTCCTTCCTGTCCCCCGCCCCCCATGCAAGGATTACAGCTATGTGCCACTTTGCCCATTTTACTGAGTATCGGGATGCAAACCAAGGCTTCTTGCATGCTAGGCAAGCATTCTGCAAACTGAGCCCCTATTTTTGGCTTTTTGACGTAGGTTCTCTCTCTGGGAGGTGCATGGCATCTTGCTTGGCCCCTACAAAGTCCGCTGCTGTTCCCACTCTTTGTCTTGCTATGCTTCTGGCATCGTCCATCAGCCAATAACCCTGAAACACAATGGAGACTCATCCCAAAGCACAGTGATGGATGAAGGGTGGGGAAGGCTCCTCCTGGGATGGGGCAGGTATGGAAGGTGGCAGGATGCAATTAGATCACCCAGCACAGATGGGGTAGGCAGCCCAGCACCACAGGGAACAGTAGTGCCACACAAGCAGGCCAGAGGACCTGAACCTCACAGCCTCAGAGGATGCTAAAGAATCTGGCTCACAGAGGGCTGCAGTGTGGGACCACAGGCAGTCTTAGAAGATTCCTGGTGTTTTAAGAAGGCAAAGATGGAGTCTCTGGTCTGCAATATCAGCTGAGGCTGAGGCAGAAACCTGGACTGCGGAGAGTTCAAGGGTAGCCCGGGGACCATGGCAAAACTCCATCATCTCATGAAAAATAACGTGACTCAGTGTACAGTTCTTGCCCAGCATGTGTAAGATGATGTCTAAGGTCTGGGTTCAGTCTTCAGGAAAGGGGTGGGGGCTCAAAGAGCCACCCAAAGGGAGCCACCCCCCAATGTGATCCAGTGAGATTTCCTTTGGCTTCAACTCCACATCTGTCAAGTGGGGAGTCCTGCAGACCATCCTCCTGAGATGCCCCATGGCTTGCTAAACATAGCTTGGGTATTTGTCAGCTGTTACGGGGGCTCGCCTTGGCCACAGGACTGTGGCCATGCACTCTGAGCAGTTATGCTTGTGGTTGAACCCTAGGCCAGAGCCCATCTTGGTTGTCTGTCTTTGACTCAGCACCAAGCTGTCTTCAGGCCTTGGAGTCTTTGTCTGGAAAATGGGCTGTAGATATAAAAGACGACCAAACTGAATATGGTTGTAGCATGGCTTACCTCTTGGCCTTTGGAATGCAGAGGCAGGAGGGTTGTGAGTTCAAGGCCAGCTTGGGCTAGGTAGAGAGTTCCTTCTCAAACAAAGACTATAATTTAGCACAGAGCCTGAGGAGGGGTCACTCATGGAGTGCGCAATGTCTGTTGAATGAATGAGTGAGTGAGTGAATGAATTGGGAAGCATCCAGCCCTGCACTCTGCCATCCCTCTCTCTGACTCAGAAACAGCAGCACCATCCAGGCAGGGCAGCAAGCACAAGGCTCACAGGAGGAAGACCTCAGGGACCCAGCAGGGGGTTGAGGGAGTGAGATCCGGGCTCCCATGGGGGCCAGGGACACAGGGTGGACACCAGCCAAATCCGGCTGAGGACCTGTGCCAAAGTGCCCTTCTCTTCCAGTCCCCTGGCTGGACGCGCTCCCTTTACAGTTTAAATTTAGGCCCCATGAAAAGAAGCCGTGGAGGCAGCCCAGCACTGCGGAAGCAAGCATGGAGGCTTTCTGCAAACAGCCAATGCGGAGCAGCGCTGGCTGCCAAGCTCCGTGTTCCTCTATAGCCTCTGCCCGGCAACTGAGAGTGTTCTGTCTGACAGAGGGGCTCGGAGATGGAGAAGTCGTTTGCCTGAGATAGCACAGCTAATAAAAAGCAAAGCCAATCGGAAGCCCAACAATAGGCCCAGAGTCCCAGCCTACAGTCACTCTCCTGTATGGCCCCCAACTACCACAGTAATAAGAAAGAGACCCCACTGAGGGTCATTGACAGGCTGAGCACTGTCATAAGGAATTGGTCTTTTGCTTCTTGTTATTTTTGTGTTTGTTTGCTTGCTTGCTTGTCTTTTGGTTTTGGTGGTAGTGGTGGTTTTTCTATTTTTGCTGTTGGAGGCAACAGAGGCCCAGAGAACCTTAGTCATTTTCTCAAAGTCACACAGTTGGCAGAGGTGAGATTTGAGCCCAAGGCTTTTGATTTGCAGAATTACAATATGTAAGGTCTCTCTCTTTCTCCCTCCCTCCCCTTCCCCCCTCCCCTCCTGAACGTCACAGATGCCACATCGAGGCACACTGGCCCTAGGCCCATCCAAGCACCTTGTCACTTATCAGAGTAACTGTAATACCTCTAGAAACCAACATGGTTACCTTGTTTGTGGCCCAAGCTCAGAGAAGTTGAACCACTTGCCTGAGCTCACACAGCAAGCGTACTTCCACAGTGGGGGCTGTCCTTTCTCCCTGAGCTAGGGCCTCTGGCACCTCCTTAACCATGTCCGGCCCTGTAGCCAACAGAGATATGGCATCCATCGTGTCAGAGATCATGATGTACGTGCTCATTGTGGTGTTGACCATATGGCTCGTAGCGGAGATGGTGTACTGCTACAAGAAGATTGCCGCTGCCACAGAAGCTGCTGCGCAAGAGAACGCGTGAGTGGGGCTGGGAGGGAGGGCCGGGGCCACCTAGGTGCCATCTGTCGCTCAGAGTATCTGTGTCAGAGGCGACTAGGGTAGTTGCTCGCAGATGCGGAAAACGGAAACCCAGAGAACCGGGAGGGTGGCACCGCTGCCAGGCATGGAAGCCGGAACTCGAACCCAAGCCTTCTGGTTGGCAGAGTTACAGCTTGTAGGTCCTGTGCCTCCACAGCTTCCTGAATGTCCCTGTCGTTAGAGGACTCTCATTCAGACTCGGGGGGGATTGGGGGCACAGTCCACAGCCCTCTCTAGTCTCGAGAGCCTTGCGTTTCTGAGACAGGGACGCCAGTCTACCCTGTTCTATTCAGGGTTAGGCCCGGAGAGTCATTGTCTGCCTTGCCTTTCCTTGCACAGCTCGGAATACCTGGCCATTACCTCCGAGAGCAAAGAGAACTGTACAGGCGTCCAAGTGGCTGAATAGCGCTGGTAAGGTTGATGGGCCGACGGGTCTGCGCATCGCCAACCAGGAGGGATCAGAGACACACTCCTAAGTCTCCATCCACTTCTTACCCTGCAGGCTCTGGGCTCCACCTCAAGGAAGAGCCAGCCCCTACGGGTACCCTCCCGCCCTGCAGTGGGGATCAGCCCCTGGTGGGTACCCTCCCCCGGCAGTGGGGAATCAGCCCATCGGTCTCCCCAGCCTCACAGTTCTGCAGTGGAGCCACCAGGGTGGGAGCGGGCAGGGACTAATCCCACCTCACCCACCGCCTCCCACCTACCCTCCCACCGCCATGCATGATGGGTGAAGCAATATGGCCGCCCCACCCTGCTTTTGCTGCCTGTTTGGGGGAGGGGGCGGTGAGGCGAGGGGGCAGGCCCCGCCCCTTCTTTTTGCTGATTTGCACATAGGCCACTTCCCACACGCACTGCCGGGCCAGCCGGCCCCACCCCTGCTTGATAGGGTCAAGAGGGGTCGGGACAGGGACAGTAGTGGGCAGGGGGTTCTGGGCCTCATCTCCCCCTCCGCTTCCTCCGGCTGGACCTGGGGTTCCTTCCCTGTCACACCTCCTAGTCCTGGCCCACCCGCCCTCTCTCACCAGCCTTCAATTGTGGTCTCTTGGGAAGGGCCTCTTCGGCCTCCTCTCTTTACAGAACTAGTTTTTGTTCATGAAATAAAGATTCTTGGACTCGAGTCTCTATTCTCTCATTCACCCCCTCAGCCCTCCCGCCTCCACCCCTCAACCTCAACACCGGGCCTCATGATGGCGTTTATTGGGAATCTTCATTCCCAGCAAGCAGCAGTGACTCTGCCACATTTAAGGGTACCACCCGGAGCTGTTGATGTGGCTTCGAGCTTGGTTAATGCTGTGACTCTGAGAGTCGTTATTTCATGGAGTAAGACTCAGGACAGGAGGCCGGAAGGTGGCTTATGTGATCCGCAGGACAGACAACTGGATGTTAGGGTTTTATGGGTCTTGCTATCCTCTGAGAACTGTGAGTAAAAGTTTTGTGGGTCGGGAGATGGAAAGGGCAATACACTGAGACAGAGCAAGAAGGGTGGACGGAGGCAGAGAGACGGAGCAGAGGCACAAGTGCTCAGGAGACCAAAGAGGAAGAGAAGAGCCAGGCTCATCGGCCAGGCAGAACCAGTGTGGCCCCTGCCTGAGAGAGGCTTCAGGTCTGTGGCTGGAGGACGTACAGGGACAGGGAGAGAGGGCAAGCAGGTGGCCTGCTGTGTAGGGACAGCTGTGGTGACTCAGATGCCAGCAGGGCCACAGGCAGGTGTAGACGGCCTTCTGAGCTGTTTATCTGGCTCGGGTCTGGGGGTCTGACGCTAGCGGCCCTTGCCTTCTGGCGGGACCGGATACACTTGCGTCTAGTCCCTTCCGGCCACTTGGCCTGAGCTTGGGCCTGGACAACCAGTGTTGCATTTTCAGGGCCAAGCCCCCCCATCCCCCATCAGGACTTTCCGGGCTCCAGAGGTCACTGGGCAGGCAGCATAGCGGCTGCCAAAACAAACCACCCCCGTGACTTGTAGGAAAGTGGCTGGGGGAGGGGCTGGGCCCCCGCTAGGGACAGGAAGGGCTAGAGGCCCATGGCGGTACGAACAGGATCAGAGGAGGGTAGGGGACTGGCATGGAAGAAAATTCGAATGGAGGACCACATGGCTACAAGCATGGCAGACCGGGGGCAGCCAGAAATTTCCACTTCATTCCTCCAGTTTGGAATGCCAGCCTTAGGGCTCTTGAGCACCCCCAAGTTTGTCACAGACACACCTGAGTCCCAGTGGAGGTGGGAGGCCTGGTTGGTAGCTGAGCCGGCCTGGTCCAACCCCTGCGGGCCCCGCCCCATCAGCCAGGTGGCCTCTGTGGCAGCCTGTCCTGGGGTCCGCCCTTCCCCGCCCCGTCCCCGCCTCCCACCCAGCCCCCTCCTCCTCAGGTGAGGCCGCAGGCTCGGCAGGCCCCACGCTGCTGGCTGCTGCTGCCACCTTTGCCTTCCGGGCTGCCCGCTGCTGTGGGGACATCATGCCCCTACCCAGGCCCGGAGACTAACCCCAAATCTGCACCATCTGCGGCGAACCCCAGGGTAAGGCACAGAATGCGAAACCCCTCATTCCCCACCAATCTGATGCCCAGCAGTCCGTAGAAGAGATCCCCCAAACCCCCAGACTACTCCAGCCTGATTTCCCTGCTAACTCAGAAGCCCGAGGACTCCCCCAACTTCTCCTCCCTCAAAATCCTCAAGTCCCCTGGAAGTTCAACTTCAGCAGGCCCGCCGGTCTCTGCCTTGCCACTCCAGGTGTCCCCCTGGTGGCTGGCCACACATTGCCACCATTGACCCCGGCCCAACCTCTGTCTTTGCATGCTCTGGCCCCAGCCCAGGACCAGCTGCTCTCTGGATGAGAGCCTGGGACTGGGGGCGCCAGGACAGAGCCAGGCCAGGCTCCCCCAGGCCATGCCTCCTTGTTCCTGTCCCTAGGTTCCGCCCCAGCCCAACAGGTCAACCTGGGAATCATTAACAAGAGTCCCTGACATGGCGAAGGAGGGTGAGTCCCCCTGTCTCTGAACCCCAGCTTCAGCCCTACCTGGCACCCCTCTTTGGTTTGTCTCTCAGCCTGTACTCAGACCCCAGTCTTAGTGTCCTGTCAGACTCAAGACCACCAGCCCAATATCCTCGGCTATCTGATTAACTATTAACTGGCCCTTCTGCGTGGCTGTGCCTCTCCGATACCCCATATGACCTTCCTAGTGTCTTGCCTCAGTTTCCCCTTACATCTCAGGGATTTCTCAGCTAACCAACAACATGTTGTCTTCTGGGGGTTAAGGTGGGGGCTGCTGCTGCTGCTGCTATCTCTGTTAAGGATGTTGAGCTAGTCGGGTTGCTTCTGCTGTCTTTTACTGTGTGATCCTGGGCAGGTAACTTCACGTCTCTGGGCTTCAGTTCACCTTTCCCTGCAGTCAATTATGGATGGATACTAATATCCCCTCGGTGAGGTGGTTGGGATCATAGAACACACAGGTAACAACTTGGGCCTTGGGGTATGAAATAAGTGTTATACCTTAGAGGTGTTCTGATGGAGGTCAGTCACTGTGGGAGCTCAAGAACCAAAGACCCAAGACACCCACCCCCCCAGTTCCAGGCATATTCCTTCTATCTCTTGGCTTTGTGGGCAAAAGTGCAGAAGGGGGACTTTGGACTTGACCTGGACAGATAGAGAAGAGAGACAGAAAAGCCATCCCAGACAGTCGCTCACACTGGAGGCCAGCCTCCGTCCTTACCTTGTCAGTTCTTGGGGACCAAATGGCTAATCAGGGACAGTCCCCACAGCACCCTCTGATGCCCCCATCCTTGACTGTCCTCTAAGAGTACACTAGCTGAGTTTGATCCTAGGCACTCTCTAGCTGTGTGGCTCTGAACATGCCTTGTCCTCTCTGGTCATCCATTTCCTTTGTTAAATGGAAATGGTCACTGTGTGCTATGAAGGGGACTCAATGGGAAGCAATAAAGGCGTGGGCCCGATGATAAGCACCGGTGTCTGGGCTCCTGGAGTGTCGGTCTCTACTCATGTAACAAGTCAGACTCCAGAGATGAGCTGTGATCTGCTGTGAACCAGGCTCCTCTCACCTTGTGCTGAGTGATCAGGTGATGGGCAAAGCCTTGCCCCTTTGGGACTGCTCTCGTTCTCTCTCTCTCTCTCTCTCTCTCTCTCTCTCTCTCTCTCTCTCTCTCTCTCTCTCTC